ATTCTGTCTTTGTAAAATGGAAATAAAATGGTACCTACCCCAAAGAATTGTTTTGAGGAACAAGTGAGCAAACATTTAAAACTGCCAGGTGAATTTAAAATATTAGATATTAATATTAGTTGCTATCATTATTGTTATTAAGCACATCTCATTCAGATTTAAGAATAAATATTAAGTGCTTTCATGTTCCTTACCACCTACAGTTCTGAATCTAAAAGAAACCACAAACAGCAGATATTGTTTTTTAATGAGTCCCCTCATCCAACCACTTAATCACTCAGCAGTCAAAGAGGATGTGAATTTTCAAATGTGTTGTCGTTTTTAATTTAAGAAAAACCCTCAAATTATGAAGTCAATCAATGACAAAATATAATTTACTATTTAGTAGACTTAAAAGCATTATCCATTTTTATTTTCTTCTACATCTTTGATTATATGCTAAAAGAAAAAGAAGATAATTTTACCTTTTGAATTCTTGAACCAATTCTCAATTAAGAATGGATTACTCCAGAAAGACTCTTTTTAAAAAGTCTATGATAGAGGTTATTTAAATAAAAGAGAGTACCATAAATTCAATATATGTTCCTCCTTCTCTCTATTTTGTTTCTTACTGGATTAAAAGTTCCTTGGCTTCAGGGATGTACCTGTCTTATCTGTATCCATATAACAATGTCATTACAAAGACATTCAATAAATATTTGATGAGCATATAAACTAAAAGAGAGATTTGTGTAAATAGCATTGTAGTCTGTTGATTTTGGTCAAAGAGAAAAGCAAAACAGTTATTATTTTATAAAGGTTATGGGTAAATATGGAGCCCAGAATTTTTCTTGGAAATGTGTGCTTTTTTTTTTTTGTATTTCATAAGACTTTATTTAATTTAAACATATATTTTAAAAATTATCATGAAAGACATAAATTCTTCATTCAAGGTGTATTTGTTCAAAAGGCCCCATGTAGTTAACATCTAACTAAAGTTAGAATAAAATCATTTTCCCCCAAAAGTTGGCATCTAATAGAACAGAATTATGTTTAAATTCTTATATATTGAATATTAAACATAACACTCTCATCTTGGACACTTTCCTTATTTTTCAATGCCTTCACTGGCAAAAAGGGATCCAATATCATTCCAACTAAGGATCAACTAAATGAAAGACTTTAAACATTTGTGGTATAAAAAAGCTGATTCACCAGGTGTGCTCTGTTGTCAATTTTAGAAGCAGTGATTTCAAAATAAGCAAGTGTCAGTTGCAGTCCCAAAGAGCCCCAACTTGGGGCTGGGTATGGGGGGTAATGGAAGAAGAATTGTGAGGTTTTCTAAGTTCTTGTCTGAGGCTGGATGGTGGCTCTTTAGGGATGGCCCAGCGATTGATCTGGCTGCGGTCTGTAGGGCTGTACCAGTTTAGGGCCTGAAAGTGGATGCTGGCAGTCCAGGATTCCCTCACTTCTCCTAAGAGGACCCACTTTAATGTAAAAAGATTATTTTTGCAGCATTTATCTGTCTGGTAGTGGTTACATGTTTGTTATGTATCAATTACAAACATAGGCCACGATCCACCTTGAGTTTAGTATCAATTTAAAATGAATACATTTTAATAATCATAAGAGACTCAATGAATTTTAAAGAATAGCATTATATATATTTACTAACCTTTTAAAAGAAACCCCAATACCTCTCAGACGTGGAATTGCTCATCTAGCTAATGTGTTTAACTCACTTCCTAGTAGGAAAATTCCATATGACTTGATTATTTTCTTCCCAAGTTGTTCTATCTTCAAAAATGTTTGTGCCTTTAAGAGGAATTATAATTGTAATTCATACTATGGGTATATATTTAAATGAGCGATTAATGAAAATAGTCTTCAATTATTAAAAAAAAAAAAGTTGCGGAGGCAGTGGCCAATCTTCCCCGATGCGTCATGGTGGAGTCATTCTCAAAAACTAATGGCTACAAAATTGAGTAAACATAGAACCAATAAAGAAAAGATTTCTTCACACCATATGAAGAGTACCTTGCTGTGGAAACTTTTGGGAGAAGCACAGCATTTTTTTTTTTCACAGTGATAATATCTCATGCTTGCAAACATCAGCCACAAAGTAAAAAATTCCTCCCCACATATCAATACCATAGAGCTGACTGTTGCGGAATGACCCCATTCGCCTCAGTGCGTTCCACCCCATCCTTCTTTTGAGCACGAAGCACAAGACCGTATTTGGTGAAACAAGCCATTAATTAGGACTAATACATTCTTCTTGTCACTCCTTGCAAGTAACTCCCCATCATCGTGCAGAATAAGGAAACACTCCCAGTTGACACCTCATTCTTTCAAATTCTGCCTTAATTTTTCAAACGCTTGAGCTATTTATTTTCCAAATCTACTTTGTAAAACAAAAGCTATTACATAGCCAGCAGTCCCTTTTCCTAATTCTAATTTACCAAATTGTGATCTCTAACAATGCTCAGTAAAACTTCAACCTAGTCCCAGGATCATATTTCTTGGTTTCATTTTTTCTTTACAAAAGAGCAGTTAAGTGATAAGTCACTTTCTGCTTGATTTCTTGGAAGACTCAGAAGCTAGATTTTGGAGCCCATAATTCTACCCCTCTCCCACTATGCATTGATTCATGACTATTGACCACCCACCAAGTACCACCATCCTACCAAGTGCTAGCATCAATGTTTACATATAATAATATGTATTTTTAATGAGTGATAACCTTGTGGTAGGCATTGTGGTAAGTACCTTCATTATCTTGATTTTTTTACTATTATCCCTATTTTACATATGAGAAAACTGAAAGAGATTAAATTACTTGTCCAAGGGTTCAAAAGCAGACTTACTAAATCCATGATCTTAAGCATAGATGGAAGGATTTAGTAAGCATTTGTTTCCAACATGAAAGTTCTGGACATTAAAGGGCACCATTCGGGGTGAGGAAGAAAAAAGGTGGGGGAAAAAGAGGATAATAAGAAAACAATAAAAGGTCAGAAGGTAGGAGTTATTAACATTCATCAGATGTCATTTTCTATTCAAATATGTTTTCAGTAACATTGAAATGACTCACTGTTCTTAGGCCTTACGGGGAATAAAATAAAAAAGTAAAATCAGTTACGTATTCATACAAATTTGAATATATGACTTACAACCAATAACATTTAAATAATACCAAGTAGTTTCATCAGGTGTGAAGTACCAAATCTATAATTCTATGAGTCTAGGTGGAAGATAAAAAATAATGGCTGTAAGAAGTCAGAATGAAAAGAGATATCTGGAAGGTCAAGAAATCCAGGCCTTTGAGAAGAACTGAGGAAATAAGTAGGACTTGAGTAGCTCCACTAAGACTCAGCCATTCCCCCAAACTGTGAATCCATCAGCACAGACAAGAAAGTGGGAATAAGCAAGGGTGTAGTGAGTTTTCCAGCCAGGCTGGGGTGAGACGATTTGGTGAACTAGTGGAGCTGAGATTGAAAAGACTGGGTTCAGGTTTGTGGCAGGTCTTGTCCAAAAGGCAATGAGCAGGCACTGAATAATTTTGTGCAGGGAAGTGATAGGATTAAGACAAAATTTGGGGAAGTTCAATCATAAGCAGCAGTCTGATGGATAGCAAATAGGACGGAATGAAATATATAATTTAGGATTTTCTTCATACTCGCTACATTGAAGCCTTAAATGCATGTAGTACCATGGAACAGAGGCACCGAGAAGGAAGATGTGGACATGAAAGGCACCCCTGAGGAGTCACACGTGTACACACACACACACACACACGTACAAACACACGTGTACACACACACACACACACACACACACACACACACACACACACAGTTTTGGCAGAAACCAGACATCGTTTCCACTATTGGGAACACCAGCGCTGGTTTGGGGTCAAGTTATGCCTGTCACCCAGAGCAACTAAAGCCACCCACTATTCAGGCAAATGACCCCACAAAGCAAACCAATCCATCTGGCCCATGCTCCCCACCTCCACCCTGAGGAGTCAGAGGGGAAGATGGAAAAGTTTGGGGAGTAGTCTCGGGCTCACCCGAAGGGCATTTTTTCATTCCTCAGCCACTGTCAGGTGTTGAGAGAGGGAGGAGGACATCCGGACTGCGCTCGAGCCACCCCTCCCCTGCGGCCCATTATGAAACTCCGGACACTTTGCACCTCACCCCGCTAGGAAGTCCTCCAGCCCCAGGCTCCTCCCGAGGTTCTTATAAAGGTCGCCTTGTGGGGCCAGTGAGCTCAATTGCTGGACAGACCAGTGTCAGGGGAACGTGGCAGACGGGCGGCCCTCCGGTCTCTCCACCGCGCTCCAGCCGCAGCCAGGCCACCCCGCGCTCCCAGCCGGCCGGTGAGCTCCCTCCCCGCGCGGCCCGCCGCCCAGCAGAGCCCGAGCGCCGCGTGCCCCCCGGACAGGATGGAGCCGCGCCTCGCCCCCCGCGCCCGCGCCCGCGCGCTGCTGCTCTGCCTGGGTAAGCCCCCGCCCGCCGCCAGGACACCCGTGCGGCCGCGTTGCGCTCGTCCCTTGACAATCGGGGACTTTCCACCGGCTACCGTGCACCCTTGGAAAGGATGTCTCTTGCATGCCAGTCCGTCTCTCCCTCCAGCCCGGGAGGAGGGGAATCGGCATAAAAAAACGCTTTTCTTTGATAAATTAACTATTGGTATATGTGTCATGCATGGATTTATACAGCTCCGTATTAGGCAGAATAAAAAGTCGGAAAGTTTTGGGTTGTTTTGCTTTTAAATTTGCTGTTCTGGAGACCCAGAGACCTGGATGCGCTCTGGCACTTCAGGCCGAGTTCTTTCTCGTAGGGGCCGGGGTGGGGAGGGGGCGGGGGGAGACGAGCCCGGGGCGCGGGAGACCCTTTGGAAAGTAGTGCTTTCTTGCCGTTTGCCCTCCGTTCTCTAAGTCAAGCCTGGTTGAGCTCCCGGGGGCCGGGTGGCAGGTTTGCTGGAGCCCCAGACCCCCGGGATGAAACCGCTGTTCTTACCTGGAGCGGAGGGACGCGCCCAGGTCCTGGAGCTCCTCGCCGCCAATCGACCTCTCACCTGCCCTTTCGGGTTTGTCCCTGAGCCCTGGTGGCGGAAGGCTGGGCAGCGCTTTTCACTGGCGGGCATGGCACCCCACAGCCTGTAATCGCTGAGTGTACTTTGATGCCTATCATCATCTTATTTGAAATGAGTTAATGTTAGTCGACGGGGAGGGGGGGGGCGCGGGAGGAATCTATCGTAAGCTTCCTAGATTGAATATATATATATTTTCTCTCCATTCCTTAAAGTTGAAGAGGAATTTGGAGTTGCATATGATTTAAATAAGGAAATAAAACTTGCCAGTCTCACATTCTTTCTGGACGCGCAATGAGGCGAATTCCCCTACCTACCTACCTACCTACCTGTGCAGGATGTGACAGTTAAATTGTTATTTCGACACGCCTTATCTCAGGGGTTGAGACCTAATGAAATGCATGCTACGCATAGTGGAACTTGTCCAAGTTCAGGAATGTAAGTGGAAACTGGATGTCTGGTTTCTACCAGAACTGTGCTAAGGACTTGGTAGAAGATTCTCTAGTAAATAATGTGGCTTTGCTGTCTTTGTTTTTAAATCTCTGTGAAAATAATAAAATTTAAAGGTGACAGTCTTCCTAGAGTTAGAGCTTAACCTAGAGGTCACAATGGCTTAGCGCTTTCCCCCCTCACCTGTAAGGCTGCATGCGAACAATGCCAAGTGTCTGTTCGGGACAGTCATTAAATATTCTAATTTGAGACAGCAAGAACCTATGAATAACCTGGTTACTACCCACCTATGTTGTGTGTGTTTTTGTTGTCATGAAAGTGCTTAACTCCTTTATTGCGTTACTTAATTATAGTTCACTTATTTCATCAGCTGCCAAGCCCATTTCCAAATGAGCTAGGTCAGTTTCTGTTTTCCCAGTGTGTTCAGATATTTCTCTGCCACTAGGCAAGTTCCTGTTTGAAGTTCTATATCATTTCTCCACACTCTATGCAGGTATGCAAGTCCAATAGTTTTATTCTAAAGCACCTGGGGGGAAAAGGTAAGGTCATCTGTTAATTCTGAAATTGCCCCCTCCCCAACAAAATATAATCTAGAAAAACTTTTCCCAAATGACTTTTCTCATTTATTTTAGATTTCAGCAAACTGTTTATTATTTCCATTTTGTGGAATTCATATGTCTCTTTGATACTTAGGGGCTCTTGATCTAAAATAAAGCATTTTCATTGATACCCAAATGGACTTTTGAGCATATTCCTGAATGACATCTCCAAGACAATTTCTGCGTACCTCATTGCACAATGACAGAGAATTGAGCAGAATAAACATTTATTTTCTTGAAAATATGGGAAGCGTGGATCTCAATGAGACATTGGCTCTCCTCAGATCTTTTCTGTTGACCTGAGAGTTCGTGAGCTGCCTGAATGTTAGCACACCTGAGATGACACCTCTAGGCAGAAAACATGACGACAGGCCTCTCCTGTCTGGGTTTTGACCCAGGTACCCAGCTGCCTTCCACATCACCTGGCCATATGAACAACTTGGGTAATTGGGGTGTGTGGTTCCACATTGGGGGCCAAATCTAGGAGTTTGGAAGGGAACTAACAGTTACCAAATGCCTACTGTGAGCCAATCATGTTGTGTGGTAGGTGCTTTACACACATCATCTCACTTCTTAAAGTAACTGCATGAGGTTGGTATGAATAGCCCAGTTGGACAAATGAATAAACTAAGGCTCAGGAAAGAAACTAGAGTAAATGGCAAGAATAAATGTCTTCTGTCCATTTTTGCCCAAGAATCTCCCATTTCCTGGTTAATAGTCACACAAAAGATACAAATGTCATGTAAGAAATCCTCTTCAAAGAGACTATAAATTAAGGTGTGGTTTCCTCGTCTGTAAGACTTCACCCTGAATATAGACTTATGCAAAGTGTCTAACTAATAAGGTTGTAATTTCTGCTGGGAACATTTCTTAGGAAGGAAGACAATGGCGAGACACCCCAAAGCTGTGATATCCTTGGGGAGGAGCACCCTGACAGCCATCCTCTTGGTATAGCAATTCTGGAAGCTTTAACAAGTGAAGTAATATGGCAGACTCAGTGTCCTCTGGCAATGTGTTATGAAAGACTGGGCGTCTACTTACAGGACAAAGAAAAATTCTGTGACATTCTAGGTTAAAGTAATGACTTTATTAACTAGGATACTATCTATAATACACAAGATGACTTGATAATTGTCCAGAAAAAATGTTAACCCTTAACTTTTTTAGGACAAAAATCCCGAATTTTAAATTTGAGGCATGAAAGTGAGTTAAATGCAAATCCTTTTGCAAACCCTCCAGATCAGGGAAAAAGTCTCACTCTCATATATAAAAATATACACATTTATATATGTCAAATTTGATAGTTTTGAATCAAGAGACATAGATAGTACATAGAATCTAGGGTTCACACCCCAGTTTTTTTTAATTTGATACTTCCAGAAAGATTTATTCCATTGTGAACTTCAATTTTCTCATCTGTAAGATGGAGATCATAATAACTATGTTATCAGGTTATTGTATATGGAATTAACAAATTGAATATTAGAAAATAATAAAAAATACTTTGAAAATTAGAGCTATTTTCATCATCATCATCAAGTGCTTTCTTATAAAACACCTCATTTAAACTTTATAACTCCCTTTTAACTAGGAAAGGTATTATTATTCACATTTTTTAAACAAGAAAACAAATTTAAAAAGAAGTGTTATCCCTCGCATAAGGCTTCATTTTGTAATGTGCGGACCCTCTGCTGGGGACGACCCTAACTCACTCTTCACTTTTGGTGAAAGTTCTACTCATTCTTTAAGTCTGGAGAAAAGTGTCAAGCTTTCTCTGATAACCCCCTCTACCTTTCTTCTCCCACCACCCAAAAATAAGTGTGTAGATTTACCCAACAGGGAAGAAACCATGGTCACAAAGATGGTTTTCTCAGGACCAGGGGTATCTATTACGCTCCAGATGTGCTGACCCCTGAGACTTCCCCAACTGTGGGAAACTCGATTGCACAATTTGTGGAAGTGGGGGACTGTGTTCACATTCTCCCCTGGCATAAACAAATAATATAAGATAAAGTAAAAATACATAAATAAATGTGCAGCCTGTCCCCCAGTCCCCTTATACCTCTCCCATTCCTGTGGTCCTGCCCCTTTCAAGTAATACTGTGCTTCTAGCCCTGTTCCTCCTTACTGGTGCTGCACTCATCTGTTTTCACTCACACTGTGATACACTAATATTAAACACTCAGTAAATGTTAGTTGGATGCATGATTAGCTTGATACTTTTAGAATTCTCACCACTATGTTTTGACTCAACCAGCTGTTCTTCGGAAATGTACTTGAGAAGCTAAATATTCTGAGACTAAGCAGTAGTTCTTTAAAATTCAATTTTGTTGTTTATGATAAAACCTAATAATTGTTCTTCCCACGTTTCCCCATTCATGTCTGTATTCAGTGATGATATGCCTAAAATAATTTAAGCATATTTTAAATTACACACACTGTGTGTGTGTGTGTGTGTGTGAGAGAGAGAGAGAGAGAGAGAGAGAGAAATTGAGCAGTGATATGACTAAATGATGAATAGTCAGTAAAAGAAAGAAAAGTATTGTTTTAGTAATGAAAGGGACCTTAGAGTAATTTAATCTAAATTCCATCCCCCTCTCTAACCTACTCCATTCCTAGGTCTCTATTTTCAGAGAAAAGGAATCTCAGCTGCAGGGAAATAAAATTAGTTTCTGAGCTACAACTAGACTCCATCCCTCATGTCTCTAATGCAGAGTTTGGGGGCCTTGGCCGTATTCACATTATGGACTGGATAATCCTTTTATGGGAGTTTTCCTATGAATTGCAGGGTGTTCAGCAGCAATCCCTGGCTTCTACCCACTAGATGTCAGTAGCACCACCCCCACCCCAGTTGTGACACCCAAAAATGCCACCAGGCATTACCAAAATTACTCTGGATTGAGAATCACTAGCCTGATGGGTTTTCTGCTGGCACTCATAATTCAAAGTTTGAATAATCAATGCTTGAGTTACCAAGACAAATAAAATTAATATTAATGGTAAGCCAGATGCAAACATAAAACCAAGTCTAGTGTTGAAAAAGTCAACTGAGCAATTTTTATTGCTGATTTTAGCACCATCTGTCCTGAATAATGATGAATCCCTATTTATGATGGTGTCACTCATACTTCATATATAATTGCTTTGCTGACTACCCCATGCCTCCTTTTATAATTCTACGTATTGGTTCATACAACACTGAACTTCCTTTTTTCGTGAATTTCCTTGGCAATTTCTAATCACTCTTGATTACCTATTTCCTGAAGTTCTATCATACTCCATTTCATACTAGTTCCCTTGAGACATCTGAATGGCTCCTATGCCTTTAAAGGTCATATTCCCTTATATGAATTTCAAATAGACTCCATCAACTCAATTCTTACTCTTTTATTTAAGATTTGTATTCCTAAGGGCCTAATAAGTGTAAATAGGTGACATATGAACTACATACTCAAATTCCTTCATTCATTATGTTCTCCGTTCACGTCTGCCATTTCCAAGTGCCTCCGCAAATCTGCTGGCCTGCCTGTTTCCTACTCTTTTAATGGCACCACCCTCCTTGGTATTATCTAGCCAGGAACTTGACATCATGTATGAATTCTCTCCTGTCCTCTTCATCCCCAGGTGTCTAGCCCATTAACTCTATTTAGGACAGGAGTTATATCTTTTCCACCAATTTTCCTTTCAGCATCTTGTTCAATATCTCACAGACAGAAAACCTTCAATAGATATGTATTGAACAAATATAATTTGAGACATGTAGTTACTAAAAATAAATATAGGCAAAGCTAGTCTCCTTTTTTATTTATTGGGTGTAACTAAGTTCTTCCCATCCTAGCATTATACTACGGTTGCATTTGTGCTTCTTACTGAAGCTGAAGTCTCCAATTTAACAAAAACATATTTTCACAAAGTACAACTCTTTCGCAGCTTTAAATGTGCTAGGTGCAGTATGCAGTCTTGCTGAATGAAAAGCAATTAGCTTTGAGATTTTAATGTTACCTTTGTGTACTTATTTTTTCCTCTTTTTTTTTTTGATGCTCGCTGATTAAAACTCAGTTCTTTTGCAAATTCATTTTTGGCATTAGGTCTTTAGAAAGAATGCATGTGATAATAATCATTGTTTCTAAAGATGCCATTACATATTCAAAGCTTCAGGCCACATACAATATGACCACAATGAAAAGAAGGCAAATGACAAAACACTCATAATCTAAACTGTGGCCCCTTTAGGAGATGTTTCTTTTGAAACAATAATGTAATAGTAATTTATATTTCTGAATTGGCTCTATAGGGATAGGTGTGAGAAACAAGATGAAAGGGAGTCAAGGTAAAAAAAAAGTTATATAAAGATCTTCCAAATGACATTATCTTGGAAGAAAAAAATTTACAATAAAACATTTGAAATAATATTCTAGAAATATATCTGGCTTTTGGGGTATGCATGCCCCACATTTGGAGGTCTTAAGTCACAAAATTCCAAACACTGAGATTAATAGCATTGTACCCTTTATACAAGAGGTGATATGCATCCACCTGCATTCTGAGAAGATTTCTATCATGAATAAGATATATCTTAAAATCTACTTTAGGGTGAAATAAACTAATCCCTTATATTTTGACACACTGATTCTTGATTTGAATGGCTTTAAGCGTAGTATTGTATGACCAATTATGAGCACTTTGAAGTATGATTTAGAAATTACTACCAAAATTGAAGGGTATAATGCCTCTGAATTGAAAAAAAAAAAAAAAGATGGCCTATGAAGTCTTTCCTTTTCCCTTGACAAATAGGATCCTATGGCTATCTATTAATGTCAAAGTTAAAAGAAATACTTATTTGAAACCATTATCATATCCACCTCTGGTTTCATTCTGCTTGGTCTCAAATAGTTTTAATTGGTTTTTACATTTAGTTTTTAATGAAGTTTAGTTGAAAAGTTAACATTGAAAACCTGTAAGAAGAGAGTGGTTGCTTGAAACAAAGACAAAATTATTTATAAGTATATGAAAAGTAGGATGTTACTGGAAAGTATTGACAGTAGTGTTTTACATTATGTCACGTAATAAAGATTTTCCAGTTATTTTAACCAAGGTGCAGCAAGACCTCATCTAATAGTGGAATGTAATTTAAAACAAAAGCATGTGGAAATGGTGAAGGTATATTCACTCTTTCAAAGTGTTCAAGACATAAGGTGCCTACTGTGCTACACACATATGCTAAAGTTATAGACCACCGTGGAAGAAGTGGAAATCTAGCAGTCCATGAGTAGATTGACATGTGACCAAAGCAAAAATGTGAATAAAACAGGTTTTACTACCTGTTTGGGCTGGGCAAATACTACAATTTATTATAAGCTTGGTGTTCTGTTCTAAACATAAAAGGTAAAATTAAGGAGAAAAAAAATTGCATTCCTTTCATTCTGTAACCCATTTCATTTTATTTTGGGTCATTTTTATGTGCTTGATTTTTTTTCAAAGGGAGAAAAAAGGGAAGCCAATTTATTTCCGGAACTGCAATTGATTTTGCTGACTTGACTTGGTAGGCTAGTCACCAAGTCCCTGCCTTCTTCTAGATGAGCCCCTCAGTGCGGGCAAAAAATGCAAGGTCAAAAGAAACCAGATGTAATTAGACACGTTTGACATTTGGCATTCCTCCTGCTATTGGGCAAGCACTTCTTAATGCTCCAGGGCCCACAACATTTAGTGCTACCCCCATTCAGGTAATGGCACTCAACCTCTCCCACGCGTGCGGTCCCCAATATTGTGTAAGGGTGTAGGCCCAGGCCCTGACTCACAGGGTAGAGGTGGTTTGTATCCTGTGAGTCACCAACACCACTTCCTGCTGGCGCACTTGAGATTTCACTGAGACACAGTCTTTGAAAGGTGAAGGTAGAGAGATGAATAGGTGAGCTTCAGGATCCTAAAACCTATTTGGAAGTTTGACAGAAAAAATGGCCTCTAAAGGGATTATGATTTTTATAGCAGTAATGAAACAGACATTTCACCTGCTAATTTTGAGTTCACAAATCATTTACCCCTTTTCACCTTGTGCAGAATTCCTTGTGTTTTAGTTACCAATGTGAACTTGCCACTAGACCTGTTTTTCTGACACATGGACACTATCCAAAATCTTTAGTATCATAGTGAATTATTTTCTTAGCAGGGCCCCTGGTCAAGGATCCAAACCCAAGTCGTTGTATCTTAGAGAGATCATTATGTTCAAACTAGAGGCCCGGTGCATGAAAATTTATGCACTGGCAGGGGTAATCCCTCAGCCTGGCCTGCCCCCTCTCACAGTCTGGGAACCCTCAGGAGATGTCCTACTGATAGCTTAGGCCCGCTCCCCAGTCTGGCCTCCCTCTGCAGGAGGTGACCAGCTGATCAGGGGAAGGTACCACCCCCATCACCCAACTGCTGCTGCCACCCCTGTGGCTGCCGGCCCTCAGCCCTCACTTCTTAGTGCTGGCCCCACCCCCCGCCCACCTGCGGGAGGGAGGTGATCTGGGGCCAGGCCAGCTGAGGGAGGGGCTGTAAGAGGTTGAGGCACAGCAGGTCGCACCCCATCCAGCCTCTGCGGCTGCCTCTGCAGAAGGGGCAGCACTGGGACCGGGACCGCACAGCCCCCTTTCCTGCTGCCTCTGCCGAAGGGGCCTGCTGCGCTGAATCAGCCTGTGCCGCCACCTCTCCTGTGCCGCTGGCCCTCAGCCCTCGCAGCCGCTTCAGCTTTGTCCAAAAGGACATCCAGAAGAATGTCAGGAAGACGTCTGGTCTATCTGGTCTAATGAGCATATTACCCTTTTATTAGTATAGATAACACTAAAGTTATGATGCTAAAGTCATGAAAAACTGCCAGATTAAAGAAATATATGGATATGACGTTAGCATCTATTCCTTTCCTGTATGACTTTAAAATAATGAGTAGTGATTCTTAAGGGTACAGGATAGTAGATATCAGAATCTTTCATGGTGGAGTTTTTCAGGTGTT